TCGTACGCAGATGTTTGGAGATGTTCACCTTCAGCAGCAGCAGCAGCAGCAGCAGCAGCAACAACAACAACAACAACAACAACATATTCACTGATAAGGTTACCGAGCTTGTGACAACAAAGCCAGCTAGATAAAGTGAGAAACACCGACGTGAATATGGAAAGATTGAACCGAGAGCCTTGCTGAGGTAACTGCAACCTTACTACACTGTGTTAAGGCGCAGTAAACTTGAAACAATAGGCTGTGGTTTTATTCCAATGTGGTATTAAAGCTAGATAAGTCGGAATAAAACAGCAACACAAATTGTGGACGTGTTTGGTGGTGATTTATTTTGAAGCCACACACACACACACACACACACATTGAGTGCTGTTTTCTTCCCTGTTTTGCTCTCAGCTGTCTGGTTGTTCTGCAAATTGGTTTATAAGAAAGCCTCAAAGTTCCTGGAATAAAAAAAAAAAACTTTGGCTAAAGGATTGCATTCACAAGGCAAGGAGAGAGAAAGGAGACAGATTCGTACACATGCAACACTCCCTCCTGCCCTTTATTTATTGCACCCTGGTCTTTTTCTCCTGGGTGCAGCTTTTCAAAGCAGTTCACTCTCATGTTTTGTGAAGTTAATAGCAGTTGCTCCCACCACATCTCCCAGCTCTGAATGTGCCATGATATATAATATAACTCTATTCATATTCACAATATGGCAGTGTAAAGTTACAGTTAAAATGCATCCTTTTTTTAAAGCAACTGTTGTATTATTTGTCCATATCATAATAAGATAAGATATTCCTTTATTTATCCCCCTTTAGGAGAAATTCAGGTTGACACAGCAGCAATAGGGCGACGTGGTGCAAAAACAGAGAACAAAGAATATCACAAATACAAATATTGCTAATATTATTAATATTAAAAGATCTAAAACTATAAATTACACTATTTGTTGTTCAAAGAGGACATGGCAGTCCAAAATATGGCAGAAAATTAAACTTTAAATAAAACTACTAAAGTGGGAAATTAAATTAAATAGTGCAAAAGGTTTGTGCGTTGTAGGAGTGTCCTATAATTCTATATCTATAGTCCTATAATGTCCAATTACCTGATACCAACCTATTAACAGCTCATTAACTCTCTATTAACTTAACTGGTACTGGATATTTGTGAATTAAAATGACCAGTTTATGTGGCTATATTAACCTATTATAAACTCACTGAACTGTTGGCACAATATAACTTAATTGCCCTTATAAACACAGCCCTTAGTTTATTGTTAGAAGAGGGGGAAAAAACTGCTATTTTCAATTAAAAAAAGATAACTAAGTTAGTTCATTTGGGCCTAAAGGATAAATCGTGGTTTTGTGTGTCTGTAAATGTTGTATACGATATTGCCAACCGATATGTTGCTTTAATTTAGTCGAATCTAAATCCTGTGTCGGAGGGTCGAACGTTTTTACTCCTCATATATTTATAATCTCTCGTGCTTTGTTTGCCATCGAATCCTGCCCGAATCCCTAGTTAAAAATCCAAACATCAGTGATGACATTCCCTTAGGCACAGGGTGTAAACCAAGAGATTACGCTGGTGTTTGCACTAATAATAAGTTAAATAGTAGCTGTCAAACCACACCTTGTAAGTTGGATGTCAAAACTGCGGTCATACTTTTTTCAAGAAATGAATTGTCCTTTTTATTCAGTTACTAAAACGCCAGATGTGTAGTGAAGATGGTTGCGCTTTATGATTCATCTGGAAGGAAGACATTCTAGAGAAATTCAGCTATTCACTTATTTTAGTCGTCCAACTGTTGAGCTACAAGAGGAGCAGCCAAGATTTGTGCACCAAACATTTGTCTTAAGGGCCTTGGAAACCTGTGGAATTCCCACATAGTTGTGTTTCCCGTTATTTTGCCTAATTAGACGTCCTGTGAGTGTGTGGGCATGTACAGATTACACTTGACTGACATCTCTCCGAGACTCATATTAGTTTTCTTGTACCTGTTAGGGCATAAGAAGACAGACGTGTTACACTAATCATCGAGTGTGCTACACATCCCGACTGGCACAGTGCCGGTTTAAGCCAGTTGGGCACGGTTGCCGTTTAAATTCGGCACTCAAAATGGCACGTGCCTCTTATGCTGACCTGATTCGACGGCACTGAGCTGCACATAAACCGAATAAGACGTGTACCAACAGCATCGTAAACAACACAGACAAATAAAAACACACTCTGTCTGAATACAAATGGAAAACGTAGTACATCGTCTCTGCCAACGCCTGAAAGCTGTAAAAAATATGCGATGGAGTTGTTGTGTGGAGATCAACAAACTCCAAGAAACAAAGTTTCTGTTAGGATTCAGTGCAGCTCACCAAAATGGCATTGTGTGCATCCTTGAGGCCTAACAAAAGGTGTGTCTTCCCTGTAAAAAATGTGCAGTGCTGTTTCTTGGCCACCTGTAGACGAGTGCACCTGTAAGTAAGTGCCACCTGCAAGCTCTCGCATAAGCATCTCCACCACCGGCTGCTGTTTTACTATCAGCTGATAAAGATTTAACACAGCAAAGTCAAAGCGAATGTAGCCAGACATGAACTTTTTCCAACTGTCCCGAATTCGACTTTCAACTGTCTCAGACTTAACGACCGCTGTCCCAAATTGCCGTTCTTTTTTTTTAATTCTGCATAATAAATATAGTTTAATAACTTTGTTTCACTTCATTGCTCTGGTCCGCTTTGGAAGTGATGCAAGTGGTTGACCCCAGGTGTTTAGCCGCAATCAGTTCTTATTATTCTTTTATTCATTGGTTAAGTTATTTCGAACGGTGAGATCCACAAATGCATCGCTGCAAACTGCATTGCAAACGCACGCACTTTTAACATTATTATTATTATTTCAGCCGTTTAATCTCAAACTCACTACAGGGACGTTGTATGTTTGAAGTAAAAAAAGAAAAAAATGACATCTACACAGGGAGAGAGAAGATGAAATGGACTAGGCTATTTAAATATTTAGAGATCAAATGAACTACTTACATATATCTATAGGAACACCATAATCCAGAGATCTGGAGAGAAACACTGACAGACTGAGAGAGAAACTCAAACTAAACATTTACATATTTACAAGCTGTACGAATCTAATCGACCTAATCCAGCGATCTGGAATGAAAGAGAGAGAGAGAAGCATTAATGTGCCCCACCGACAGGCTGCCTGTACAAGAGGAGAGGGA